AGTTCAGTTTGCTTCTGTCATAAATAAAATTTTTAACTGATTGTTTGGTATCATTTCACTTTAATTTAGCCAGAGGGAATTTCAAAGTAAACACGACTCCCTGGGCTGTCCAGTCTGGGTCATGACATTTTTATCTGCAAACTTACTGAGGGTGCACTCGATCCTCTCATCCAGATCACTGATACAGATATTAAACAGAACTGGCCCCAGTACTGAGCCCTGGGGAACACCACTTGTGACTGATCACCAACTGGATTTAACTCCATTCACCACCACTCTTTGGGCCCAGCCACCCAGCCAGTCTTTCACCCAGCAAAGAGTATACCCATCAAAGCCATGAGCAGCCAGGTTCTCCAGGAGAATGCTGCGGGAAATGGTGCCAAAGGCTTTACTAAAGTCTAGGTAAACAACATCCACAGCCTTTCCCTCATCCCTTAAGTGGGTCATCATGTCATAGAAGGAGATCAGGTTGGTCAAGCAGGACCTGCCTTTCATAAACCCATGCTGACCGGGCCTGATCCCTGGTTGTTCTGTATGTGTTGTGTGATGGCACTCAGGGCGATCTGCTCCATAACCTCCCCTGGCACCGAGGTCAGGCTGACAGGCCTGCAGTTCCCCTGATACTTCTTCAGGCCCTTCTTGTAGATGGGCATCACATTTGCTAACCTCCAGTCCACTGGGACCTCCCCAGTTAGCCAGGACTGCTGGTAAATGATGGAAAGTGTCTTGGTGAGCACTTCCACCAGCTCCCTCAGTGCCCTTGGGTGGATCCTATCCAGCCCCATAGACAACTGTGTGTCTAAGTGGTGTAGCAGGTCACCCACCATTTCCCTGTGTCTAAGTGGTGTAGCAGGTCACCCACCATTTCCCTGTGGATTATGGGGGTTTCATTCTGCTCCCTGTCTCTGTCTCCCAGCTCAGGGGGCTGGGTACTCTGAGAACAATTGGTCTTACTGTTAAAAACTGAGGCAAAGGAGGCATTAAGTACCTCAGCCTTTTCCTCATCCTTTGTCACTATGTTTCCTCCCGCATCCAATAAAGTATGGAGATTCTCCTTAGCCATCCTTTTGTTGCTTATGTATGTATAGAAACTTTTTCATTGTCTTTTACTGCAGTAGCTAAATTAAGTTCTAGTTGAGCTTTGGCCCTACTAATTTTCTCCCTGCATAACCTCATGACATCTTTGTAGTCCTCCTGAGTTGCCTGCCCCTTCTTCCAAAGGTCATAAACTCTCTCCCCCCCCAAGTTTCAGCCAAAGCTCTCTGTTCAGCCAGGCTGGTCTTCTTCCCTGCCAGCTTGTCCTTCAGCACATGGGGTCAGCCTCCTCCTGCGTCTTCAAGATTTTCTTCTTGAAGAATGTCCAGACTTCCTGGACTCCTTTTCCCATCTTGCAGTGTAAAATCTCAAAGCAACATACAAACATGATGCTTATGGCATCACTGTGCAAAACTGGTAAAAAGGAATTGTAGCAGAGCTGTGCAAAGGTGACATGAACCCATTTGCTGAGCAAGAACAGAAGCTGCGAGTCACACACACATACACTCTGCGCTCAGATTAGGGCTCTGTTGCATGCATTTACCTGTGTTACACGAGATACCAAACTTGGACTAGTGTTGCAACTCTTCTGAGTAAGTTCTCACTTGTGAACAGAAGTTGAAACACCTATCTTGAGAAGTCATCAACTATCTCAAAAAGAGATCTATTTCTAATAAATTAATCTTCCAGGAATAGGAAAAGACAACACGTTATCTGTAATGAAATACATGCTGTGGCAAGATAAACACTAAATAGTACCAGCTAGGTCAGACCCCTTGCCAGTCCATCTACAGCAGCTGTTCAGCAATCACATCTCTGGAGGAGCATGCTAACTGGTGTAAGAAAGCTTTCTTCCCTTCACTGCATTAAACACTAACATACTTTTCCCCCTATTTGGGCAACTGTAAAGGCCATGAGGAACACAGAAATATCATAGGTTATGTAGAATGGAAAATTTGCCTAGTACAGGTTACTCTGTTACATCAAAGAGTTTGTGGGATTCCTGGTCAAAGAATTCAAAATTCTGGGGAGTTAAAGGTAAACTCAGGTAGAAAAGACTGAATGTTTAAATTTAGCTAAAAGTCTGGTAAGTGAAAAACATGACCTATTAATAATTTGGAGGGCATAAGCCTTAAGGTCAGAAAGGAATTATTTATCTAATACACAGAAGAATGACAACTGTGAAGATGTATCAGTATCTTCTTGAAATTACGCCACAAGCTGATGTCTATTAACCTTGCAAAGACCCATACACCTGAGAGATTAATTTTCTGCATTTTAAGGAGGGATAGAAATGGGCATTTTTCAGATCAGTGATGGTGAAGTGAAATCTAGGAAAACTGCTTTCTAGGACTAATGACATGAGGTGTTCTATAAAAAAATGTATCAAAAATGCTGAAGTATTGTAATATCCAACCTGCCATTGCTACCAGACATTATAAAAGTGGAATAACTATATACCCAATCTATTTGTGGATCCCTCTCAAAATAGGATCACACTTCTAAATGAATATGAAAATCTAAAATGCCTAAATGGTGTATTTAGTAAAAATTGATAAAAACTCTTCCATGTGCTCTCATGTTTTATTTTTTTCATTGTTCACAGCATTAGTTTGAAAGACAAATTGTAAAAGGTCAGAAAGAGTACAACTCTGAATGCAAAACAAACCAAGTCCAAGAAGCTGGCATACAAAGCATGGGCAAAACGCAGCCCTAATTTCTGAGATGCACTGAGCACACTTACTACATTACTCCTTCTCAGAGAAAATAATGGGCAAGGAAATCAGAAGTGAGGAGAGAAAAGCAGAATAGCAACAGAGAAGGAAATAAAATGGGATAGAAAAGCAGGTTATTACTTACCCTCCAGAAGCTAATATATGTTACAGAGAGACCCTAAACAAACCACCCAGGAAGAACCTCCCTTTTCTAATGATCTCTTAAAGGCTGCATTATTTTTATTTTTTACCTAACTCAACCATGAAACTCAGAGAATGCAGCTTTCACATGGCTGCTAAACAATTCCTAGACAGGCCCCAAAATACGTCTGTATCTGTTTATTTTAAAATCTTGTGATATTAAAACAAATACTGAGATTTAAGGGGGAAAAAACTGCTGTGTCTGAGTCAGTGACTTCTGAATCCTAGGAAATGGCAATGTAGCTGTGAGTGAGAAGTCTGGAAGCGAGTGAAGCAGGAGCATTGACCCAAGCAAAGATGTGTCCCATGCTGATTTCAGAGCATGACTTAGATAAGTAAGCAAGGGCTTTTAAGAACAAATATACATACATTTTGGCTTATAGCACTGTGGTTGGGAAAGTGATTCAACAAACTTGGGGGGGTGGAAATCAGCGTTGCTGTACAAGGAACATTTGCAGAAATTATTTCTCATTCTTTCTTGGAATCTAAACAAACATTGCTATAAGTAAAAGCAACTTCCAAACTATACATTAAAAGCCTACATGCAAGCTTTACCCTATCTTCCCCAACACAATGCAAGTAAGAGCCAATACATCCAGGGTAAGGCTCAGTCTCCTCATTCATGCTGGACAATGTATTTTCCATTCTCCCACTCCTCTTCCTGCACAGAAAGGAAAGGCTTTCTATTCCTATTCACATTTGTCTCTCATTTTCTATCCCCATGACTCCTGTATCATTTTCACTCCTAAAGTCTGTAGTTATGCACAAACAAGACTGATAACGTCAAGCCTTTAAATACTGTGAAAACAGTTTGAAGTCTTAAAACCACTATATGCCACGTGTCATACTGAACACCCGTTTTCAACACATTTTACTTAGAGTTGACTCTCCATCTCTTTTTTTTAACATGTCATTTAACAAGACTGTATATTTTGTTAAGAATTTTACAGTAATAGCCTCTTTCCTGCTGAAAAAAAATTAGTGTGATGGAGAGCTTCCTGCTTAATTGCTGCTGTATAAAATGGAAACTACAAGTAGTTTTATGACTTATCAAAATCATAAAACAAATTACGAAAGTTCTAGCCTTCATGTAGAAATCTCCAATCCTAAATCAGTTACCAGAGTATATGTGGAGATATTTTGTAAACTTAGGGTTTTTTTCAATACCTCCCAGAAAAATAATTTCCTAAATATAAACTCAGTGTTTATTCCAGCACAAGATGCTGTATTTAGTTGAATTTTTTTTCAGTCCAAAAATTTCAAAACCTCAACTAGGAAACACAGTTTTAAACTGGGAGAAATTAGAGGCAAAGGAACAAGATAACAAGATATCCTGTAGTAAACAGAGTTTTAAAAGGCAGTAAACAAACAGGAGAGAACAGCAGCACAAAATGCAGAGGATGATTAAAAACATAAGAGAAAGGGAAGGAAGCAACAAAGCCAGCATAATCCTACCTGTTCCAAAATGCTGATAAGTCAATAGCATATACATAACAAATACCCTCTCAATAAAGACAGAGAAACTATGAGCGAAACCACTAATTCAAGAGTCAGGATGCAAAAAGACAATTACTGAAATCTACCAAGTATTTGCAGAGCAGGAGGAACACTATACATAAAATAAGATATAAAACAATCAAGGGAAATAAGAACAGGAAAGTAGTTCTACTCCACATGACTTAAGGAAGGATTCAGCAGATCCTGGCGCTGTTCAAGTCAGTCCCCACTTCCTCAGCAATGCTCAGCCATGGGAACTGGTTGCCCAGGGGAAAATCGGTGAGCTGCTTGCACTGCTGGATGCTCCGGCAGTAAAGATCAGTTTGTTTCAGCAGACTGATATGGGAGAACTAAGAAGAGATAAGAAAAGCTACTTCCTTTGCCTCACTACTGGCACATCTATCTGGTAAAAAAAACCAAAAACAAGCAAAAAAAAACCCCATCCCACACTGAAAGTGAACCGTGATGGGTATAAACACAGTGCAAAAAATTACTTCACAGCTGTTCAAAGGAAGGGGGTGTTTTCATCCAAATTAACCGAGATCTGCCAGGTTAGAACATATGAATACATTTGAGCAGCAATGCCAAGACACGTATCACAAGGGGACTTTACAAAGGAAAGTTTTCTCAAGCTAATGAGCTGTGGCCAGCCCAAACATGTCCAGTGTTATGTAAGACTGTCCTGCAACATTTTGTTGAAAAGGAGGTAAGACAGCTGACTGGCTTTTGGGTTCATTCTTACTGTGTTCTGGCAAGTTCTCAGAAACAAGAAATTCCCTTGTTTTAACAGAATTTTTAAGGTATGGATTGAACAGTGCTTTTTCACTGAAATCTTCCAGCTTTAAAACTTCTTCATTATCATCTTCTTCATTTTTAATTGAAGTCTGTTGGGATTCACATAAATCATCTTCCAGCATTTCTATGGGGTGGATCTCCTTCGCTGGTATCAAAGCTGAATGCATTTGACTTCTGATATCTTGATCGGTAATTATATAAGGCATGGATGGTGAAAAACATTTTGCAACTTTATTTTCTTCATTATACAGTATCTTTTTATCTCCGTTAATCATGCCTTTTGTATTAATATCAGTACATTCAGAAACATGGTTTTCACAGTTCATTAGTAGTGATCCTTCCTGACTTTCTTCAGGGAAACAATGTTCCAAAACACTTATGTCTTCACAGTCTATGGTTTTAGCCTCAGGTGTCACTCCCTTCAAAAATGAATTATTCTGTCAGTACAAAGAGATAAATTGGAAAGTTATATAGGGATAGATAATGTATTAGTTTATTTTTTTAATATATAAAATATTGCCACTTGAGCTCTGTTTGACTCTTAACTTTTAAGAGTGCATTAATAAAGAGTTCATGTGCATTTCAGCTGGGATTCAGTTATATGTGAACAAGTACCAAAAATGACAAAGTTATTCTGTCCATTTGTTAAACAATTTCATATTAGGCTTTCTGTGCTAACTAAAATAAGGAGTTTCAATGAAGGCTTGGAATCAGGCTTGGACTGTTTCCATCTTCTCCACTCTAACGAGCCATTTTTCAGAAAAAAGTTTAAATCCCATTCTCCACAGATTACACTTTCTATGTAAACCTGACCAACACCACTTCATTCAAATACATATCAAAACTTTAATAAGGAATAAATATCCAACAATAAAAAAGATGGAAATGTTAGTACAATAATACACACCAAATTTTACTATATGTTGCACTGCATTTTTTGGTGGAGAAGGGAGGAAATATCCAGCTGTGGGAATCTGACTCAGTAGACTCAATAATCCAAGCAAATGTAATTGACTTTATTTAATAAAACATGTTGACCAATCACTTTATAAATTCAAAACATTTCTCATTATCATATAAGAATTAAATGAAAATACTTTATAAAGATGCATCTGTTCTATTGGTTTGAAATACAAGGAAGAGCATTTTATAGCACTTGAACAGAAGAATGAAACTCAACAGGTTTTTTTATTTAGTCATAAAATGACTGTCAGAGAAAGATTTCTCTCTCCATTTGATCCCTTCTTTAATACATGAAATTGCAATTATTACCATGGATGTATCAAGAGGCCACTCCACTGCAATGCTCTCTGCAGGATTGGGTATATCAGGCCAGCAAACCTTTTTAAACCTATCATTGAGAAAGGTATTTTAGCCAAATGATGAAAGAGATGGATTATTAAAAATAAAATGAACAAATCTGCAGAAAGCCCAAATATTGCTAAAATATCAAACTTTCACAAGAGAAGTCTTTCCTGTATTAACACAGTATTTTTAATTAAAATTGTCTTCCCTCACATTCATTTTTATTACAAAAGATCTCAACAAATAAAAATCTTGGGCTACAGAGAGGGTCACTGCAGAAAAATTACTAATGCACAATTTTTATTGTATAGTAGATCAAATACTATCATGCCAAATTAAGGCTGTACACAAAACCTGACATGATCATGTTGCAGGGTGGTTTTTCAGTGAAAAGCCACCTCACATAAACTTTGCTCTAGGAAAGTTTCCCTAGCACTATACCACACTAGAGCTATGCTGAACTCTTACAATAACAGCAGATAAATTATGCTAACTGACATTGTAGCTTATAACTGTCCAACGGAATAGTAAACAGGAAACAAAATGAATCACTCATTGATACTGGGTACACACGCAAGTGAATGAAAACTAGGCCATAGCTTGACTTTTCACATTGCAATTTGATCTACACTCAACTACATCTCAAACTATTCTCCAGAATCAAAGCATAATTTCTTACTATTGTAAAAATTCAGAATACATGACACAGATGAAGATGTAAAAGAGCTGGGAATTATACTTAACTACTTCAGATATACTTATTACCTGATGCTTTGCATGACAACAATCCAATAGCTTAGAACACCCCAAAACAGTTAATAATTCTTATTAAGCTTCAGCCAAACAACTTAGTCACTTTTCATGCTAAAGAAAAGCACATTTTATAACCTTAAAAATCTTCACAGTCATATTCCCATGCTCTGAGGAAGCAATTTAAAATTTAGCAGGGGACATATGTGATGGCAGATAAAAGGATTATGAATCTTGTATAGATATGGATCCATACTAATGGATCAGGCATCCAAATGCTTTCACATGATGCAATTTATAGTTTCTTCATGACTTCTTTATAGCTCAAGGGAAGTGTCACAAACTAACGAAAGTAATATTAATGTAACTAAGATAAGCGATAGGTGTTATATGAAACGTGTTCTAGTGATGTACTAGCAGATACATTAAAAGTGCCTGGGAAACTTTATTTTTGGCATTATTAACTTTCCAGTAACTGACTTAAAGTATGCTCTCCTCACTTGATTGACCATGGAACTGCAAATGGCATGTAGCATTTTCCATAAACTGATACAGGTGATACGTAAATCTGTTTCTCCTGTTTCTTTTGTTCCAATTTACTGCACTTTCTAAAATTAGTACTTATTTTTGGACTGTAGCACATTAACTACAGTTACAAGATAACCTGCATCCTTAGTTATTTGTTACTCCCAATTGCTTACTTTCTTAATTTGACATTGGTTTGGAACCCAACAAAAGCATTTATAAGATTTATATATATTTGCCTTTTACAAGTTAAAATTAACTGATTGTGTTCAGTTTTAGAAAGCAGAAAATGTACTCACGCGTGTTTTTTCAAAATGCATGTTATCCAAAGGCCTAACAGAAACAACATGCTTACTCCAACAGGTAGAGCAATGAAAATAATATCTTCTTTATCTTTAGAGGCAAAAAAAAATAAAAATAAAACAAACCACAGATATTTATTATTTCTTCATGGATTCGCTTAAGAGAGCTAATTTTTAACATCCACGTCACCCAATTAGCACAATTCTAAAGCGCTCTGTCAAAACTAGCCAAAATTACTCAGACTACGGTATGGTACTCATTGTACGACATGTCAAAAGATGGGTATTTTGAATCCAACAAGTCACAGTTACTGAGCCAGAAAAGCAGCTCATGATGAGACTTCTCAGGATCTCAGGCACAGGTGTATTGCATTTTAAAGTTTCCTTTATTAATAGAATCACACAATAATTCAGATTGGAGCGGACATCTGTAGGTGACTTCGTCTAGCTTTGAAATTAGAATCACGCTGCTTAGGGCCATACCAAGCCAACCTTTGAAAGTCACCCAGGATGAACAGTCTACCACCCCTCTGGGCACCTGTTGTTCTAGAGTAACCTAAAACTGCCATATAGTGCCACTTCTACCTGTAACTGCAAATTAAATAGTAAATTCAATGCAGGAGATAGGTTTTAAATACACAAAAAATACTCTGACTGAAACACTGCACAGATTTCTGAGCTAGCTTCCAAGTACCTACCAGAGGTAGGTACTGACAGCAATAGACACCAGACCTCAGCATAGTCTAACTTAGCTTGCATTTGAGTAGCAAATGAGCAGATGAATTTACAGGCAAAAAAAAAATCAGCTTCGAGTCCCATGACAAATTTAAGGATAGCTCATGCACTTCTTTATATTTCAGTTTGGCCACCGCTACAACAATTTATGTATATATTGAAAACACTCTTCCAGAAGTAGAAATGAGCAGGTGTCTGAACTTCTGACCTGCAGCCATCAGACCAACCTCCTTGGTAAAATCTGGCTAAAACAAATAGTAAGAAATAGAAAAAGATACTTATACACACACACTGGCCACAACCTGTGCACTCATTTATTAGTTAAGCTTATACAGCCAAAGAGATGCAACGCAATGCACAGCTATTCTAAATCTAGTATCTCAGATGGAAATATCTGCTTTTTAGTAAGTGTTAGGCACCCCATCCCATAATTGACCGCATACAAACTGTTGGTCCCACAAACATCCATAGTATTCCACAGCTTTATTGACAGGAAAAGAAAGATTTGGGGGTTTGACTTCTAATCTTGAGGTTTTAGTCTGTGAGATGAACCGTGAAATCGAGTTAAATTCAGCTAGTGTTGGTAATTCTTCCTTGTTTTGTTTAACACTAATTGAAAAAAAAAATATTAACAAATGCCGAAACAAAAATATCCTATATTTCTTATTCCCAAACCTGTTTTTAAAATAGTAATAACTAACCTGGAATATTACTTACTGAATTTCAAAGTCTTGAAGGTTTTTGGCTCTCCACTGGTTCCACCAGCTTCATTACTTGCCATGATATAGACAGTATATTGCGTATTAGCCTGTAAGGACTTCAGTCTGTATTGCAGAACATCAGAGTTCACTGTTTCATCTTTTTAGGAGAAGATTTATGTCAATAAACACAAAAAATAGTGTTGTATCAGGGAACTGTACACTTATTTAGCATCTTTTACAATGATAGATCTCAAAGTATTTTAAAGACAACTTGAAATACAAAGCGACCTTATCAGTCCTTTGAGAGGGAAAACTTAAGTTACTAAACAGTGTTTCTCAATGCTACTTAAAAGTTTAGGGCAAAAAAATAAACCATTATGTATTTACTTTTAAAAATAAATACACTTTTTTTTCCATATATTAAAGATAGACAAATTATGATCTCCTGTAGTTTATTTTATCATTGAAAACAGTGCTTTGAGAACTTTATCTCCGGGAACCTACGCTTGGAAATTAAGAACTTAAAATAGTTTCGCAGCTCATTAAATTTAACTATATTTCTAGTACATGCAGTTAGACACTGATCATCCAAAAGGCTGCAATTGATCAGCACTGGGATATCACCCCAATAAAGTCAGAGGAAAGCCAAAATCAACAGGAATTTTTTTCCAAGTTTAAAAATGCTTTTCTGAATAGAACTCAACATTTCCAATACCTTCTCCATTACTGGAATTAGTATGGTGTGCTTCACTTTTAAATTTTTTTAAGCAGGGCATACAAAACATTCTATGTCTACAAACAGCATTAAAAGCGTGTTCATATTATGAAATTAAAGTCACTAAAACATCTTCTGGTGCATCAAGTCAAAGCCAACTCATGTCATCATTCAGTTCAGTCAAGAAACACTCAGGAAATAGATACACTGCAATATGCCCTGAGATTAAACCACCTGAGTTTCTCTTAAATCAGGGAGGGGAAGGTAAAGTTCTAGAGTTAAAAGGCCATCGGTGAAGTCACAAACTTGGCACAAACTCCATGTTCTATTTTTATCAAAAAGATGTGACATCACAGAAGCCTCAAAAAACATCAATACAGTAGGGTTTTGCCATTTAAATTGAACTCCCTTGAGTTGCTATTTAAAACTAATTTCCTAAAGAAATGAACCTGAACCCTTAAAATGGGCATAGTCTACTTTACGTTAGAAGTAATACGGAGATCCATAGCTCCATAACATGAGACTGCATATCCTGAGGATGATCCCACACAAAGCAGTCAGCATTAAATTACTCAGAAACCAACACAGCAGGAAAAACTGCATGTAGACGACTGAATCTCACAGAAATAATCAGCTTCCTCTTTCTAATTTAAAAATTACCAAGAATGCTCTTGCCCTGGCTCCAAACTGGATATCCAGAAGCAACTGAAGACAACACAAGATTTCTAAGTTTGAGATCTTTTTAAAAAAAGATTTTGTTAGGTGTCTGCTAACAGTGATGTCTAAAACAAAGAAGGAAAAAGAACCATTTCTGAAGCACTGAATGATACAGCAGCATTCTTCATAAACTATACAGGAAGAACAAATTTAGGTCACCAAAACACTTCTCGTAAAAGATTCTGCTGAGATTTAGGCTAGAGAAGTTTGGGATAGATAGGATTATACTGACACCTTGTATGAATAGTACTCTTTGAGGTAGGAGATTACGAATATGCTCAAAAAGTCATGCTGTCAGCCTCCACAGTAGAAAAACAGTACCAAGCACAGAAAATCAAGCACATTTGAAGAAATTAACCTAAAAACTATGTCCAAATAAACTATTTCTTGGCAGCTTATTTTAGCTTCTTGGCTATAATTTGCTATTTTGCTTTTATTATAAAACTGACTGTAAAAACATTTTTACCAGAAAATTTCCACCATACTGTTCCAGAAGCTGAGGGCTTGGGAAAGGAATCCTTCCAAGGACATGCACGGAACTTAGAAATTCACTGAATCCTCATAAGGTTCAAATTAATGAATTTGCACTAGATCTATGACTCTCCAATATATTTTAGCTCCACTTTAGCTCCTCTACTTCTGCCATTACTTTTTCCATTGGCTTCAGAGGTGTGTCACAATGGAAGAGAGATTTGAAGATGGAAGGAGACTAGTACATATGTAAAAGGGGAAAACAGCAAGTATCTGACAAATAGGACTCTCTCATTTGGCATAATCCTGCAAATTTGATTTTTTTACTGCTAACAGAGAACAATCTGCAAAATGTCTCTCATATATCAGTTTCCATCCTGGTCTGGAAAGGGAAGAGGAATGATAGTGCTGCCATACACTGACTATATTTATCACCTGGAGATCAATCAGATTTGCATCTGAGAAGCAGAAAGGACTATGTGGTCAACAGTCATGGCTGTACTACCGTGGGTAGTACAAAACTAATAGTAAAAAAGATTAACTAAGAGCAAGCAGTGCTGTGCAAAATAAGTTCAGAACAAAGAAACTGAGCAAGAATACATGTGTAGTATTAAAGCAGGGACTATTGACTAGAATACCCCATCATTTCAATTAAACCTAAAAAATTTTTTAATCATTATGTAAGCCACATTTAGTACCAGTATTTTCAGACATATTTATAACATACAATAACAAAGTGTGCAAATAACTATGAAAATAACTATCTTCAGACATCAGATTGTCATAACCCTGTTGAAAGCGTTAATGTTTAATCTATACTTACTCAATTCTTTTCCATCTTCAGGTTTATAAAATATTGTATAGTTACTGATAAATCCATTTCTTTTATCCTTTGAAATCTCATTCCATTTTACTGTAACTTCATTTTTCCCTGGAATGCCTGTGTCAGCCACAGGTCCTTCTGATGGCTCTGCACAGAAGTATTATAAATTAGAAAAAGTAGTAAAACAGTCTAAGTACCACAATGTTATCCATCTGCGTTATTTCACACATACCAGTAACATCGGGGCAACAAATGTACAAGTAAATAAGTCATCTTAGTGCTCTGATACAGCCCTTAACTTTTCTCACCCTCTTTAATGTGTGATTTCTTCTGATTAATACTCCCCCTCATCTATTCTGGCATTTGCATAGTTCTCAATGTTACTGCATCCAAATACCTCAAGATCGTTAAAAGGCTCTATCCTCACAACATTAGAGAGAGATCAAGAGGTAAAACATCCTTATGCACTCACAGGGGAACTCCAGTGCAAGGTCACTGTGTATGCAGGATGTCTCTGGCTGAGCTGAGATTCAACTGGGGTCTCCAGCACACCCAGTCTTTGCCCATCACATTAGACAAAGTCTTTCTACTTATACAAGACAAACTCATGTGCATTGCTCGTAACTTTGAAGCAAGAGTTCTCTGTGCTTCAGTTTTAAAACATGTATCTTCCTTCCCATTCTGTGACAACCATTAGTATGGTCACAGCTCCCTATAAATAGGAAAGCACTTGAAATGAAGTTGTAACTGTGCTAGTTAAGTATTACTCAAACATACAATACTCCCTTACCTCCTCCTAGTAATTAATGTTGTTTAGTAGTGCATTGTACTATGTGTGCATGCACACTTGCATAGACCTATATATGCACACACACAAACTGACATTTGCACCTGAAATCTTAAAATTACCAGTAAACTACATTCTTACAGCTGGCTGTATAAATCACTGAATTCACATTGAACTTCTACAAATAAAGAAACCTTCCTCCCATCCCCACCCAAAACGCTATTTCATCCACAGTTTCTATCCAATCGCAAACATCATGGCTTCTTACCATTTTTCATGTGCAGGGCTGCAAACATTTTGTTACATTATAAAATTTAACGAAAAGCAAGCTTTTCAAACCATCCATTTCATTCTGTGAGTGAATTTCCTCATATATTAGCACTGCTAAGTGCAGACAAGCATTAAAAACAAGTCTAATTATATATCTAAACAAGCTGTACCATTTAAGAGATACCCAGTTTAAAAAACTGTTTCATGTTTGTAGCTATACTCTTTCTAAGTGCTTTGTATACAGTATGTAAACTTTACAACAAATGAGTGGATTCAAGCACCAATGTACCTGTATTACAAGATTCAATTTTCTTTACTGAACAATTCAGTAGCTGATCTATGAACAGAATAACCCCAGTACCAGATCGCTCAAAGATAATACACGCTGAGAGACAGACTACAACACACCTTTCACAACATCATTAGTTTAAAATACGTACTTTTTTCTTGAACATAAGTTTGTACTGAATATGGAGCTGCTACTTTATATCCATAAACAGGGTACACTGAGATGTTATAGCATATAAATGGTTTAAAGTTTTCTGTAAAGGAAAAAAAAGAATATTTACATACAATTCTCTATGTAAGATTAATACAATCAAAGTAGAATAAATCACAGTGTAGTCCTAAACATACTGTTACAGACCTCTATTTTCTTCAACTTTTTAGCAAGCACAATTTATATTTACTGCCTCAAATGCTCATTACTGCCCTTAATGCAATGAATTTTATGTAGTGGTATTCATAAGAGCACTTGGTTTCTGACTCATTTTTCATGAGAAATACTTTGAATGAGTAATTATACTTCAGCCTTATACAGCTTCTCTATTACTCATCTCATGACAGTTTAAGGTTTTGGAGAAAGTTTTTATTTTCAAATAACCAGTATAAAATGATACTTTCAGGAATATTTGTAATTTCACATATCTTTAGGTTTACTGCTTTGCAGAAGAGAGTTTTGTCTCATGCAAACAGCTTCAAAGGCACAATGGAGCCCCAGCTCTTAACTCCACATTGATGTTCAAGTTATGCCAACTGCAGATCTGCTTCTAACCAGCTTGACTCAAAAGTACAATTGTACAAGAGAAATCTCTGCAGTAGAATTTTATGTGTTTCAAGACATAGTTCAGGCTTCTGGAAACAAAGTTTTGAGCTCTGAACAATCCAGCAGCCAAATAATCAACAGGGTGCACGCCCTACTTACAAGCAAGTCTCATCAACTCTTGGAGGACACATATGTGGCTTTACACCCTGCAGGATGAAACTAGTGTAAAGGGTTTCCTAGACCATTCCTCCTCAAGTCCTGCAGCTTGTTCAGCAAGAATAATGGCTATTGACAAATCCCTGCATTGTATCAGCTCTGCTGCTTTTTCAGTCCCTTACACCTACTGCAACCCAGCAGAAGTTATGGCGGCTCACATGTCGTCCTTAAAATAATTCCACAAAAGAATGCTAGAATCAGGCCTGAATAACAATGTCTGAATTTGCCTTGACATTTCTAATGTGACTTGTGCTTAGGGTAAACAAAGATCTAATAATGCTGAGGAGGAAAGCTGGCTTTTTTAATACACTGAGAACAGCTGTAAATAGCATTTATTCCTCACAGCAAATTGCTGAAATAGTGCAATTTTCAGCAGACTCACCCATCTCAGTTCAATGTGTAATAAACTGCTCTTGAATTTTACTTCAAGCAGATTTTTGTTTAATTTGGTTTACTGTAGCACAGAAACAGTATTTAAATAACTCTTGTCTGAGCCAGTAAGACAAATTTCAGGGGCAAGCTAGCTACATTCATCATTAACAAACCAAATGTTCCTTTTCACTTCAGAAAATGCAGAGTACTTGTTTTCTGAAAACTTTGGAGATTCTTCTTCCTTGGTGTAGCATTCAGAAAGATCCATATATGAACAAGAACTGCTTTCAAATTTGATAAATCTAATTTCACTAGTGGAGAACCAAAGAGCTAATAGTCCAAAATGCACTTATCACATACATTACATATATTATATTAAACATTTTCACTATTATTCCTGTTTTTGTAAAAAAACCCCAAAACCAACCAACCAAACAAAAACCCCAAAACCAAAATCCAAATGTATAAAGAAAAGCAGATGCATTTCCTTAACTAAAGGTAATGTGCATGGGATATTTACATCAACATCAATATTCCCAGTTTTGCCTTTGCACATACCTCTTGAGCTCTGCACATTGTTTGGTTTTGAGTTGAAACTACACAGACATAGCCAAACTAAGAAAGATTACCTGTTAAAAAAAAGTCAGCCTCTAAAACAAAAAAGTAAGCAGATCCTCACCTATTTGTCAGAGCATCATAAAGCCACTGAAACCTCCTAGAAATGCTGTAGGTCATAATACAAATGTGATTATGTGATATTTAACATGCCAGATTGACCAATCACTCCACTTGCTTATTTTAAAGTAGAATTCTCCTTCAAATCCCCTTTCAGGTTTCTTGCTGTCTCTCTAACCCACATGAAGGCACATGACCGTTTCCAATCTTCAGATTCATTTTTTTGGTTCTCGGTTTCTCTGCTTAAGTAGTGTATATCTGTCATAAGCCTCCCAGTTGGAAGATTCATGGCATAAGATCAAGACACAGTTCTTCAATATGAAAACTCTAGCCTAATCTTACATGGGACCAAACACCATCTTGCATGTTGCATGAAAATTTGAGTTAAAATTGCTATGAAATTACATGAAGAGATTTCAATAAAGCATGTAATATTGCTTTATTTTTTAAAATGGTCTGAGGAAAGCTGGATGAGTTCATTCTTGTTTGTTCTTTCCAGTCTACCTATAAATAAATATACATAAATACATATGTATCTGTACATTGTTACAGCTGTAACTGATAAACAAACATACTTTTGTTAGTTTTCCAGTTTGTAGAATTTGATACATATTGCCATGATCTACTAAAAGGATCTGTCTCCAATTCCTCATACCACTCAACTACATATTCGGTTACTTCTGGTTCAGAGGCTATCCATTCCACAACCACTTCTTCATTTGTTGTAAAGGTCCTCACTGTTTCAATAATCCGAGAAGCTAAAAATTTAAACAGAAGATGTCAGCAATTCTATCTTCATAAAAACTGCAGCAAGAAAACAACTCAAGTATAGCAAGCTGAGATTGCTTCTTTAGAAGAGTATGGGACTTAGTCACAGTTAAAAAAAGTTTTAAAAGTTGCTTTATACCTATGTTCACGTGCATGTACTCAAAATACTTTAAAATGAAGCATGTAAGAATTGTTACAATGAAAACGGGTGGGGGGATTGAGGAGATGATACTCAAGGAGATTTATACATACAGAATCAAAGACCTCTCTTTTAGGATCTGAATTTTACAAACCAATTTACTATCAATTCTACAGGTAGCACAGATAAGCAAGTTTTGATTGAGATGACAAAGGCAATAGGAAAACAGTTAAATCAAGTCAGCAAGGTCATGAATGACAGTGAAGCAAAAGTGAACCATCAACCTGCAGAACAGAGGTAACGAAAATCTGAGTGAAAATCCAACCTGGCAAAGCAGAAGGAGAGAAGATGTGGTGAAGCAGAGGGAAAAGAGATTGTATGTAGGGCAAAAAAAGCATGTCACAGCACAGAAAAAATCAGAAGAACATTTACTGTGGGATACAGAAGGGGACAGAGAGGTAGTCAGCAGCTTCCAGGACAAGATAACATCACATCTACATAACCAGTTTTCTGATTAGACTGGAATTTGACTGAGCAATTCCAGGAGGACAACCGCACTTATTTCATGAGCAACTGATGTAGAAGTGATTCAAGCGTGTCATATGCAACCTCTCTTCAGATCATAGGTAGGCAGCACCTTGTTGTAATACAAGGCTCACAGAAATATGAGAATTAAATGGAAGAGCCAAAGAACACAACTGTTGTGCTAGAGTCGACCAGCTCCCTGAACCTGGAAGTGGGTGGGATGGGGGGAATGCATATGAAATGAGAATAAACACAATGTTTCTCTCTCTGCTTCCACTGATGCATCTTACGGACTATTAAACATGTCTTTAAATGTTGTTGTTAAATGCACTGCAATAATGCCCTGTGGTAACCAATTTTATGACCTAATAGAGGGATGAGACAGAATTGAATGGGACTATAAATTTATTTGGGAGGTCCAAGGTTAAAAAAACAAAACCAAAAAAACCTCAGAAAGTAATAAAATAGAAATTCTAATAAGACATCAGAAAGTGTTGATATCTTTAACAAATATATCACAAAACAAAAACCCCAACAATAATAGTCTATAACAAAACATGGTATGTGACAGCAAAACAGACAACCAGATAATATTGTTCTAGTAAAAAGTAATGGACTACACAGCTTTGTAAATAATACAGTTCTATATGTATAGAACTTAAACAGATGTCAGGAAGATAATTTTTTTGTTAATGAGAAAAACATAACACAATATTGAGAAAACGTACTTTTTTCACCAGTGGATGGAATCCGCAAAATAGCTTCAGGAGAATTTCCAGCAGAGTTATAGGCAGTAATAGATACGTTATATGCCTCTTCATTTAAACGTAAATGGAACTTCTCATCGGTAGTGCTGTTTGTCATTTTAAGTGCAGGATGGTTTTCCGGAAAATACTGTATTTTGTAGCCTAGAATTCTCCCAGAAAGTGGAAAGCTGTTTAATGGCTATTAAAAAAAATATGCAGTAGTAAGTGTTTCACAGTGTTATTTGTATAATCAAAAGTATATACTGTATTAAAGAGTCCAAACCAAATTACCAAATGATTATACTGTATTTAGAAAAGCAAGGTACTTTCTTCAAGTCCCATCTTCAGGACAGTCAGCTGCAACAATTTTATTGAAGGAAAGGTTCAAAAGTCGAATACTGAGATTTGAAACAAAGAGTTTCTGGTCACTGTACGAGAAGATTAATGTAAATTTAAACACAGCTTTAGTAAGCTGTATTATTTGGGAGCAGTTGTAAGGACTTTCAATCAGATTTTCCAATGTTCTGTACACAATTAAACCTTTCCCTTCTGCACAGATTACAAAACTCTGTTTATCTACCATTCAGTAAACAAAAGCCTTTTCAATTCTGCTTTAGTTTAGTGAGGTTTTTTTCTGATGACAGTAAAACCCACTGGCAGTAATATGTCCTTGTGGTGGAGCATTTCACGACAGCGCTACAACACTAAAATACTTCAATGCAACATCAGCTGCAGGATACCAATATGATTATCAGTTCACAAAAAGAGTATATACCTTCCACATAAGATATACAGATCTATTTCCAGCTGAGCGTGAAGACTCAATTACCCTCCACAAATCCACTTTTTCGGAAGGAGCTGAAGACACAAAAATATTTTTAAATTTGTTGTTATATGAAAAAGACAGTATAATATCATAAAAACAATCAAAAGGTTTCAAAAATACAGTCTGAGAGCAACTTATTAAAAAGAAGTCTTCCTTTGTGTAACGTTGTGCCTTTTTTTCCTAATTAGTACAGCTTCTCTCTTTCCATAAGTTTGTTTCTGCTTTCTTTTATTTGTTAAGTTCTAGAGGAGATTTTCTAGTCTTGCTTTAAAAACTGGCAATTTAATTTCCCTACTTATAATTTGTTTTATCGGACACACTTGCTACACCACATTTCTGCTACCATCCTGCTTAACAATGTTCGGTCTCCATCTACACTCTTTAATTTTTCCTCTCTTCACTGCTATTCACCCATTTTCTGCCTTAGCACTATGTTGTTTGTATCACCTTTCAGATCTCCTCCACTCCTTGCTCGTTTTCCCTCTTCTATATTTAAACAAAATACATGTGTTCTGTTTAAACAACAGAATTCTAAATTCAATAGACTGATAATATGCTGAAAATACAGGTTTCCATTATTAAATCCTAATGCCCCAAAGTATAAACAATGAAAAAACTCACTAAATAGTTAGCCTACCTTTCTCTTCTGTGCTTGCTGTTTTCTCCCTACTCCACTCACTCCAGAATATTGACTCAACACTCCTACACTGAATGGCAACTGAATATTCTGTGGAGTCCCACAGACCTGTGAGATTACAGGATCCTGTTTTCTCTGCAGAATTCTGTCGGACAGGGACAATTCCCTGAAAGTAAATACATAAACAAAAATTATTTGCTACAAAATTGCATGCAGACATATTACTTTAGTTTTCAAAAAACCACAAAGGATTCAGTTTTCATGTTTCCCACCTCACTCCTCATTTTTCTCTGTAGCATCTTCATTCTTCCTGTAAAACTCCGGGGTTTGAAAAACTTGAGCCAAAACTATGTCTGTACTGACTGACCTGTGGCTTGAACTGTGTGCAGCTCACATGCAATTCTAGAGGAGCTGTGCTGGCGCAGGAGATGCTGGATGACTGATGGGAAGCAACTGGGTATTGCTGAAGCCAGTATCACCATAATGTCCTGGATACAGCTCCACCTCAAAGCAGAAGCATCCCTGGGAAAGCAGTGGTCATCTGCAATTTGTGAGCCAGCTGGGTACTTGTTTCTTTTCTTGGTTTTGTTTTCTGAGTTACAGGGTCTTCCAGCTCTTAGCCATATAATAGTGTGGTGGTAGGCCACCCCCAAGATTATCAGTGTATGATTAAAATGAAAAGACCAATGAAAACACAAAAAATTTTGGTACCAAAAGAAAAAAAGAACATGGAGCCTTTAAGTGGTGAATGAAGACAAGAGTATGAGAAATAACTGATGCAATATCTTCTTGGAAAAGTAATGACAAAGTGAGTAATTTCCTTGTCTTAAAAGGAGCCCACTCACATCTCACTGATGGAAGTCAGAAGCTAGATTGTTGTTTCAAAACAAAAGGTGAAAGAAGACATGAAAACCAGGAATTGGAGTTGATGCATCAACTCAACTGGACTGACAATGGGAAGCAGAAGAAAACAACACGAACTGTAGAAAGATGTAACCCTTCTCTTCCAAATTGCAAAAATTACTCAGTACCTAACAACTCTCATCCTCTCAAATTTCAGATGACTGAAACAGAAAGACGCTATGTTAAAGCTAGCTAAATTCTTAGAAGGTCAGCAAAGGTAAGTTTTAGAATAAGGAAGATTCCCTCTTGGGAGCCAAATTAAAGTAGTAATGTCATGTAGATTTACAACAACAGGGCCAAAAAACCCATGAAGAAATCCTTGTCTTCCACCAGTTGAACCTTCCAATGAAAAGTGAATCAAACTCTAACAATACAAAATGCAGACACCCATTCCTTTGAACATCATAATGGGAAGCGCACTGCCTAATGAAACTGAAAATTTTAGTCCATTCTGATCTCAAGAAACTTGATGTCAAAAATAGAAAACTGCTTCTATGAGAATGAATTCAGGGATTTACAAACGACTGCTAGGTGACAGACTTTTTAGCCAACATGCAATAAAAAGGGCTTCAAAAATATTATCAACCTCATGCAGAACCTGACATAGAATTGCAGACACCCCAGACTAGCTTTTAGTTACTTGCCAAAAGGCTGTTAACAATATTCAATTATAATTGGAAACTTAGCACATGCAAGTAGAAAAATAGGTCATCTGTTTTAACTCAGTAAAAACAGTTCACAGCAATTGTTTTAGATTATTTTGGTTAATTGTTCAGATTGTTTTGGTAGGAAGGCTTAAAAGGTCAAGAAAATATCTGTCCTGCTCAAACTTTTTTTTTTGTTTTTGTTTTGCATGCGTGTGCTGACAGACAGAAAAAGAGCTCCTGTACCTAACTGATGGTTTGATGCTGTCTTTGTTGGCCACTGCCATTGGATTGGCTATACAGACTATGAATAATGCCTGTCTAAGATCCTACAGAACTAAACTCACTGGACTTTGTCTTTACTGATCATGGCTACTATTTTTTTCTCTAGAATGTCTGTGGAAAAATGGAAGTAAGTTCTGAGGAAGAAAATGGATGTAGACTGTATTTGATAGTGAAAAAGTAAACCGGTGATTTCTTACATAGGTGCTGACAAATAGACAAAATACATAATAATGCTGTTACTTCACAAAAATGTGAATGTTTTCAACATTTGGGAAGGATCTTATATGCATGTAATCATCACAAGGACAACAGTGTCTTGACTCCAAAGGGATAAACATCTTGAACAGGTCTTTTAAATAAGTTCAGTTTCTAATATCCGAGGTGGACCTGAGCCATGCTGCCCATCAGATCATCCCAAATATATCCTGAATCCAACAACTAATATGTCATATCTACAGTGAAGATGCTTGCCATGAGAATGTGACGAGGATGCTACTTAGAAACATATTTAGTACCAGGAACTTTTTTAAAGCTCTGAGGAGTACTATTAGTTATCCCAACTAATTCTTCTCTGCCAGAATTACACATTTAATGTATAAAATGGTAAGGTCAAGGCAGACATCTCAGTTTGATGAACTTAAAAAGAAAAGCCAAGCAACCTGGCCCATTCTAAAATTTGAAAGAGGAAACACTAAGACTGCAAACAGAATTGCTTCCATAATGAGGAGCACTGGAATAGGCCATCTGAAAGAAGCAAAAGACTAAATACTGTTTTTTTCTATAACAGTTCCATTTAAGTGTCAGAAAGACAAACTCAGAAAAATAACTTCTCTTATTTTCCATTTTGTAAAGTTTATACTTTAATTCACTTGAAAATTAATGTATCATTAGTCCATCTTAATCTGATTCAACTGTTGTGGTTGGGAGTAAATGCTGTTTTCAACATCAGAATGCAAGAGGAAAATAAAATATTTTGACTGAATGTGTGTGTAATCCCTTAGCCTTTTACAGAAATATATTGAGAAGTATAGTATGTACCAAAACAGACATTGACCAAAAGGAAGAGAACAATTAATCCTAGACAACAAAACAATGATCTTAAGATCATAATTATGCTCCACTAAAATAACAAGGTTTTAATCATTATTTCCAACTACTTGTTGCCTTTTTTCTATTTAGCCTTTTATAACATGAAGAAATTAGTCACAAAGAAGCTAACATTCAGAAGAAAATTTATGTAGCTTACCGAAGAGTTTGAATACAAGTTCCTGTATTGAACCTGGCAAATTACATTTTGTGAAGGGATAATCTTCTCAGGCATTTTCCAGGTTACTGTAAGCAACTGCTTTATACCAGTGATTTTTTTAACTGAAAGTATTTCAGGAGGTTCAAATTTCTCTAGAATGGAGAAACAAAAACAGTAGCAGGGGAAAATGCTTTTATAAAAGTTCAGAATTGCTCCGTCTATGTGTGTTACAAGAAGTTTAATTATTATCCCAATAATGTACATCCTCTCAGGTATTCATGATGGTCTATTTTATAGACATAACTCTACAAATGGGAAGTTACCTGTAAGAGAGATTGTACACATAACTGATTTAATGCTGACAAACCTGCTCTCAAACAGATGTGCAGATTTCTTTCATCTGTATCAGCACTGAAGAATACTCCTCAGAGACAGCAGCAGGGAAAAGAAACGAAGCGGAGCTGGGATGCCAAAGTCAAGTCCAAACTGCAGATGAGGGAAGAATTCAGCTGAAAAGGATTTGAGCGGGAAAGAAGTGTGAAGGAGGTGATGGGAAAAGAATGGATTAGCACTAAGAAAAGAGATGGTTGGTACAGAGGATGTGGAAAGTAATGAGGAGCCACGGCAGGTCTGAACACAGGGAGTAAAGGAACATATGGCTGGAGAGCTCATGGAATGCTGCAGCAAATCAACAAACCTTTTAACTGAGTATTTTAACTACACCAAAACGAACAGAGGAAAATGCAGCACAGCACAGAAGGAGAAGAGATAGGCAAAATATTATTGTTGCTCCTGGGAATCACAGAACAGGTGGTTTTTTAACATTCCTAACCAGAAAGTAGAACAGCAGAGTAAACGATGGGTAGACCTGGCTGGAGAAATTATAATATCGCTATTCATTTACAGCTAGATATTGCACTGACATCTAGTACCACTCAAAAATAGAAAATTACAGTCTGAGTACAACTTAGTTTCACACAAGTTTTAGTATATGGCCTTTACTTGTTAGTAATTAAAAACTTAGTCATTTATAATGGATATGTTAGACATTAGCTTAAAAAAAATATTGTTGTAGTTAGACGTTTCATAGTATAAATACAGCACACTATAATTTTTCACCACCTCTTGGTAAGACCAAGAAATTGCTGAAAATTGCTGCTGCACCACCAACCAGTTTGAAGAATTTTACCTGGAAACACCATCAGTTAAAACATAACAACAGAATTGGAAGCATCCAAATTTTGATGAAAAAAATTGGGAAGTACGAAACATATTATTAAAGCCTAAATGTAATGTCAGAGACGTCATAATTTTAGCTAACAATTAAAATTGGATGGCATTTCAAAACTGAGACCAATTTAAAACCAAATGAAACCCAAATAATGGTTTCAAAAATATTATATTGAAAAATTTTTTTTTTATTTTCTTCTATGTAAACCAACTTTGATTACTCAACTGGTTTCAGAGTTCTCTAACCTGTATGCTACAGGGAAGTCAAAAGAATTGGGGAGGGTACAGTCAGCTCAACATACACTGCTTTATCTTTAACTCTTTTTTTTCTTTTTTTTAATTACCTATTTTTTCCATAGGTATAGGAACACAATCTGATGAGGCTTCACCCAAAACATTTTCAGCTTTCACCTGAAAACAAAAAGAACTACTAAATGGAGTATCTGGATAGACAAATGAGCATGACTCCGTTTTGCTTTGGCAGGAGCGCACTGTATTTGGAAGAGTCACCCCTCCTTCTGTCATCCTAAAATATAAAAGAGAAAAATTAAAGGAGTTAGAAATTAGAGGATTTTCTTAGGATAACTCTAACTGATTATTACTCTTTAATTACTATTCATGTGTTTTTGAGGTTGCAGGCCATTTTTACCAGTGAATATCTCCTTCGATGATATATTAGTGCAAACAAATACTCCTTCCTAATTGCTCCACTCCTGCAAATGCACAAAAGTAGCCTACACAGACTCAATTAGTTTTAATTGCAATTAGTAAGACAACTTTCCAGGAGCAGTAAGGAAGAGTAAGAATGCCTTAATGGGGGATCCACATGCTATTATTTTAGATTAAAATCTCAAAGAGAAGTGAAATCATGTAACTCCACGCAAGACCTCCTTTAAAAATATAGATAAGATAAAGCTAGTAACACATGCCACATGGAACTATGTAATAACAAGCTTTTATTCATGTTTTAAATACAGAAAAAAGAAAAGCCAAACTGTACCACTGCCAAGCTATTAAAAAGTAATAGAATTTGTCAGATTTTCTGGAAAGAAAACACTGATAACATGCTGTCTTCATAGCATATACTTTCATTATACGTAGTGTGGGATGCAAAGCTAACAACATTTGTTTCATGTTACCAACCCACAGAGAAATTTTTCAACAAATAAAAACTCATATATGGGGCCTGTATTCCATACTATGCAGTAAGTAAGCACATCATTCATGTAACTCAGAAAATAGTCTGGGGCTGGTACTTCAAGAACCTTTTTTAAACTACTGTAAGCCTGCAATGCTCCAAAAGGAAGCAGTCCTACCTTCCCTAACATGCATAGCTGTTTGTTTCCATCCACAGCTCTCTGTCCCCTTGTACTAGTGCTTTTGTAGTCATATGGTAAACTCAGCTGGGGAGTTATCTGGATTAAAATTAACGGTTAGATTTTACTCTAAATAGTTCTGCAATCCAATTCACTGTGTGGTTAAAGAAGAATTTGTGCTGGTACAGGAAGAAACAATATTGAAACTTACTTTCAATGGCTGTTCTAGTTTATGGTTTCACAAACTCAGCTAAGTTATAAACTGTAGAAACACTAGAAGGAGTAACAAAGTTCCACCTAATGAAGATGGAAGCCTAAAATGTCAAGCCTAAAACAGAGATAAAACTAAAGATGTTTTCCTGCCCTACCATTTAAATAAAAAAGATACCATACGCTAGCATAACTTACAATACGAAAATGTCTCCTTTGGAGTCTGAATGCCTTCTAGTTCTCAAGAATAAATTTAGGCATTTTTGAAAACTCTTCATGAAATCATACTACCTAGAGTCTTGATTAGACAGAAAAAGAGCACTACAAGCAGCTCTATTATGAAGAACAGATTGACAAGTATATTTGGGACAAAATCTGTGCTATCACCTTCAAAATTGTATCCGAGATCTGCCTTGGAACAATGCTGATTTCACCATTTTCACAGTCACTTATGAAAAAGTAAGCTCCTAAACAATATTTGAAATTTAATGGAAACTGAAACTATCAAGTATTTATGCTTCTATAGTGGGGTCACAAAAACATTGGAAAGCATGAGACTACATAATTTGTATTTGTAAATACAAATCCCCAGATGTGAGCAATCCAAAAAGGACAACTAACTCTGGATTCTTTCACTGAAACCTTATGACTCCAAAGGTCCCTAGGTTAAATGCTACTGGTGTCAAGCAGAGTAACAGGGGCTTTACTAGTTTTAAATGGGAACTGATGTAGAGGAGGAAGTAATCTTTTTTTACCCATCCAAAATAACGATAATTAGTTACACACAAAGTTTCCGGGTAACACTCCCACGAAGTGCCTCCATTCTCCATTTGTACCTAGGCTTACTCAGCTTTTCATCTAATTAGTAATGTTACTTCAAGGAAACAAGTGAATATCAATTCTGATTTTGTCTACTGAATATTGGGTTGAGAATGCTAATTTCCTTTATGCAGCATACTAAAGAGGTATCAGATTTTAACTTTTTTCAAGAGTTATCAACCCCCAATTAATTGAATTTACTGAGGAAATGCCATGACTCTGAACTCCACAATGTTTCCAGGTTTTCTTTAAAGAGAAGTCAGGATATGAGGGGGAAGGGAGCTGGTGGTCTCTCCCCAGCAACCCAATTCCCAATACATCCTATACTTACACTTTTCGGTAAAGAGTATAGTTTGTCGTAAGATGTGTTTCTCTTCCTGAAGTCCAGGTGCAGGTAAGTTTAGCATCAAAGTAATAAATGCAGGAAATATTTCCTGGTGTTTCTGGTGGAACTACAATGACAAAGGTTAAAAAAAAAAAAAAGCCCAGTAAAAATAAGTAAGTCTAATGTACAACTGATTTTGTTGGGTGAAAAAGCAGATTATAGCAACTTCACTAAGTGTCTTGCATAGCACTTCATTTTACAATTTCTTACTGCCCTCAAAAATCCTCACAAAGCCAAAATCAAAACCACTCTTTCTTCCCCTGGGAGACAGGGACATTTTCTCCAACTACTTCTCAGAAGTACTTAACTAAGTGGGCCTGAAGGTATTTTTGCAGTAACTCATTAACTATCTTATATCAAACCACTACACACATTTCCTGAACCTCTAAGTACACCCTCTGCAACACGCCTATAGCTCAAGGCCAGTCCAGAGAGTAAGAGGAAAACAAAGAAACAGCACAAAAGTTCAGGAAAAGGCATTCTTTGAAAGATAAAACTCCCCTTACTTCCTTCCCAGAATGTCTAACCACATACCCTACGAAAACCCCTAATCTGAGGACCCTGCATGACCTTAACATGCAGAAGACAGCTTCCTGGGAAATGTATCTATATGACCTTGAAGAGATCGTTAATTCTGGACTCTATCTTACAAGCAAGATAGGGCAAAGGAAACCATCCTCTGCAATCTCTATAGTCTGAAGTCATCCGTAAATATGTAACACCCTCAAAGACTTCTTTGTTAAAGCCAGACTTCTTCATTTGATAGAAGAAATTGGAGTTGAAAGGAAGAGAATTGCACCCAGTGAAATAAATTGGTTGAAAAAGCCCTCTCCCCAAAACAGTACTTTTCTGTCCCACTTAATATTAACACTGGAAAGATCTTTGGTTTATTTACAAGCTTATGGCACACTAAACTTTACAGACAGGCAATACCTTCTGCTGGTTTTTATTCCACAGATGTATTTTTCTGCATTTATTGCTTCTTTATTAGACTGGGACCCCCAGGCATACGTTAGTACAATCTGGACTTAATCTGTTCAATAAATTAGAGATTTTGTGTACATATTTATCCTGTAACCTTCTCCATATGAGATTGTAATTATAATTTCTTTGGAACAGAGGTTCTCCCTGGAGAAAGCTAAAGTTGGCTAGGCTACACAAAAGACATTAACCAAAGGAAGAGACCCACTGAACTCAACAGAAAACCTCCACTCACTTCATCTGGCCAAAAGTCAGGGTCAGAGAGGTTATGGACCAGTGTCAGTAAGGAATGCCTGCAATTTCATACTTTATTTTCAGAAAAAAAAGGAGCTAAAGGTGTCTTACAATGCCACAAGCTAAAAAAAAAAAAAAAAAAGAAGTTGTTTTAAAAGTAAAATTTTTACATTCTTATTTAATAATGTTAAAATTAATTTTCCCGCATTTCTACTTACAGCCAGTTTTAACTTCAGTGTGAACCAAAAGTTGCTCCTTGCCCAAGTACTTAGTGAAACATTTCACATGAGCTTTGCTGTAAGTGAAATTGTGGATGGTTATACTAGATACAGTCTCGTTCACAACGTCATAGTCTTCCCAAGGAACTAATTCATGATTCAATTTCCAGATGATGTGGCTTGCATTTCTGTGAGGTGTGTAGCGTTTTCCAAGAACACAAAACAGTTTCAGGGTGGATCCTCTTTCAATTTCAGGAGATGAAGGAAAAATGTCAGCATCTCTGATAGAGTTTTCATCTAAAAACAAAATCAAAGATATCACATAACCTAATTCCTTTTAAAAATCAGTGGAAAAATGATAACTTATTTTCTTGTCTACAGATCATTTAGATTTTTTTCATATGGAGTTGAAATAAACTGCTGAGTTAGTCACTCAAATCAGATATTGCTGTTTGGAAACTCAGTTTACATTAATTTAACTACTGTATTACCATAGGGATTATGTAAGAATGATGTTTTTATACTTTCCCAGAAAAAATGGAGAAATTTCAATTCAAATGTTTTTTAATAGCTGAAAATGAAGAAAAGAGACTTTTAAATCTGTTTTTTAAAAAAATATTCCTATATGTAAAAGATACACATACCATTTAGATGTTATTACTAATAACTATATCGGAAAATACATCAAACTGGTAAGTTTAAAATTTACAACTAAGCTGCAATATATTTCAGTATCTCGGTAGTACTTTCACCCCTCATAGAATTTATATTCCCAGATACAGTGCAGGAATTGTATACAAAATGCACGTAAAAGGGAAACACAGCAGCAGGCTGAATGAATGAATTCAGCAACAAAGTTACCAAACAGTGCAAGAATCACCCATTAGAGTCCTGCAAGGAGCTAGCTATTTATTTTTTTTGCTGCTTAATTTCTTGAAGACAAATTTCATAAATAAATCTGTTAAATAAAAATACCCCAAACTTTTACAGATAGAATTTCTTTGCTAGAATGTAGGTATGAAAGGGAATCAAATATTAAACTTTCTTCCTTGTTTTCTGGTAATTCTCTCCTTTTTGGGTGTATTAACTGTAAATTGCTTTCTATGTTTCTTTTTGTGACCTTTTTGTTTCAAAGTAATTTATGTTTCAAAGTCATACTAATGGCTACTTTACACTCTACTGCACAAATTTTACTGTATATCAGTTGTAAGCAATTACCTGCACTGTTTCATGTATTGTTCAAGCTTCTACAAACATATGCACCCCTCTTCCATGTAATCCCCAAACAATTTAAGACACAAATACCATTATATAATTACTGTTGTGTGCTAAGTTGTCTGTGATAAATTGCACATGAACTTTCAATTATTGTCACAAAGTCATTATCTCTGTCCTTATGATTTCCTATTCTAACCCATACTATTCAACTTAATCAGTTTAAAGTGGCACTGTTGTCACAAGTATTTTTAATCCTCAACCACTTATTCACTGCTGTTATCCCCCTTTGTGTGTCAGAAGTGCCTGCGTAGTGAACCAAAAGGAAACCAATACGCGTGAAAAATAAAAGTTTGGCAAAAAATAACATCGTCCTCCATCCAGATCAGATTCCTCACCACTTCACGACTAGCCACACAAACATGCACTCTAGTGGAAGAAGAGGGAGATGAGAGGTGGATGGAGTGCAGAACTACGTGCTCTTCCAACTGCAGTGGTTACCTGTGCTAGCTTAAACTGACTGTGGAACTACCACATTAAAAAAAAAAAAAAAAAAAAAAAAAAAAAAAGTCACACATTGTCAGGTGACTTTTAAAAATAGGAATGAGAACATTAGTAGGCATTGTATGAATCTCTGAATAGGTAATATTTGACTTAAAACAGTCCAGAACCAGTAGACATTAACTGCATTTTAAGTGTTCATGTTACAGAAACATCAGTTTGTTCCATCAGCAGATCTCCAAAGTTACCAGCCTTCACAATCCAACAAGAATTGAACTCTGATATGACTTCCAGATACAGATTCCCCTTCTATACGCCATGCAACAGGGGAACAGTAAGTTTTAAAATACCTTTTTTTTTTTAATACTTTAAATACAAAAGAAAACAAATCCAGGCTATGATGATGACAATTAACATTCCACAAGAGGACATCAAGAGTGCCATAAATTTTTCTCTCTATACTGTACACTAGTTAGTCAATCACCTACTAACTTCTATTTTTAAAATACACTTTCTTCATTTTCAAAACTCTTCGAAATTTCATCTGGAGAAGGTCATCTTTTGGAAAACTTTCTTATGGCAAGACAGGTGCTAATAATCAAGAAACATACCTGCTATACAGCTGCAAAGCAGGACAAAGATCCAAATCAAACAGCTGAACATTTCTTTTTCACTATCTGGGCAGGAAATGCTGTCATAAAATAAAAATAACAATAATATACTTCAAGTAAAGATGCCCCTGTAATACTTTGTAAGCGTTTGTATAAGAGTTAATAATGCTATTCAGTATTTCCCACTGGCATTCAAGTTAAGTATTGCTTTGTCCAAGTGTTACTTTCCTGCACGATGGGAGAAATTTGATGCAGTCTTTCTAAGATAAGTGTATACTTTTCCTATAAAGAAGAGAGAGGTAAGTGTACCTGAAATCCTTCTGAGGGCAATCCAATCCACCTAAGCAATTTACTTTCCAAGGACCGTGTAAAGAAGTGGTAAGAAATATATCTACATCCACTTGAAATCCAGCCTGCCTAGCCCTATCTTCTGAGCAGATTCACCAAGCAGAGTGAATTCCTTCGAAAAGGAAGGCTGTTGCAGGAGAAGGAATGATCCTGCATCTCTTGTGCATCACCACCTAATAAAACAATTGTTCAGGAAGCCAGCAACAGTCCCAGGTCATCATCCACCTGAAAGAGGGTGAATTCACACTGTTTTTATCCCAGCTAAGTGTCCCAGACACCACACCTGAAGACAACTCTGCAAAGCGTCTGGCTCATGTTCTACCTGGTGTCCACCAGGACCCCCAGGGCCTTTTCTGCCGAGCTGCCTTCCAGCTGGCCAGCCCTCTGTCTGTACTGGTGTCTGGGGTTGTTCCTCCCCAGGTGCAGGACTTTGCTCTTCTCCTTGTTGAGCCGCATGAGGTTCCTGGCAGCCCTTTTCTCCAGCTTGTTGAGGTCCCTCTGGATGGCAGCATGACCCTCTGGCACATCAGCCACTCCTCCTAGTTTTGTGTCATCAGCAAACTTGCTGGGGGTACGCTCTGCCCCATCACCCAGATCATTAATGAAGAGGATCAACAGGACTGGACCCAGTATTGACCCCTGGGGTACATCGCTAGTCACTGGCCTCCAACTAGACTTTGTGCCACTGACCATCATCCTCTGGGCCCGTTTGTTCTGCCAGTTTTCAATCCACTTCACTGCTCATCCAGCGTCTGCTCATCCAGCCCACGCTTCATCAGCTTGTCGGTAACAACTCTGTCTGCAAAGCGGCCCAACTCCAACATCGAGGGCGGAGTATGTTGCAACCCAGACTACACCTTTGGCTAGTAAGTAGGAGATCTGCCTGTAGAAAACAGAGGTTTCAGACCTCCTTCAGCAGATGAAAGCCTAGGGCGCAATATTCCTACTTACTGGACAAGTAGCTCTAGCTACTATGTTCATAAGCAAAAGGTGGGCATTACTATTGCTGCAGTTAGTTAGGGCCCCTGTTTTGCATTAGGTTTTCAGATTTATCTGAGGAGTTGCTGGAAAGCCAGCTCTCCAAGCAAACCTATATCTCAGGAGTGGTCCAGGTGGGAGGCAAGTGCTCTCTCCCTAGAACAGGTACACCAGCAGCTTTCAGACCAAAGGTGGCATCTCCTCCTCCCACAGGTTCGGACAATGCTAGGAAGCAGGTGTGCACCAGGTCACTGTATGGGACAGAGATCTATAGGTGGGATATAGGCAGAAGGGGTTCTGCCCTATATTATGGTCCCTTCCACAAAAACTTCTTAGTTTTGCTACAAAATAAAGTTTTACAGTAATCTAGAAGAGAAAACCATAGTAAAAAAAAAAAAAAAAGCTTTTTGTGTTCAGTTTCTGCCAGAACTAATCTTAAGCATTATTTTCAGTCTGTCTCAGGAAGCATTTATAAACTTTGAGGCTATGGCAGTGCAAAACAGGACAAAAAAATGAAAAGGGCACATGGGGCAAGAAGAGAAATGAGGGAGGCGTTTGCCCAGTGACACACTCCTAAAATACAGCCGTAGCAAGATGTGTATCAACAAGAAACAAAGCAATTACAAAAAGAGAATCTATTACTACTTTCATTACCTAGTGTGTAAGTTCTTGTTCTCAAAGCAGTAAAGACAAATTACACTACTGATGGCAATAAAAACAAAGAACCTTAAGGAACTGTTCCATGTATTTGGCACCAGTAGGTATAGAACTAAAAATAGATGCCGATGTAGAAATATTTAGATAGTTATTTTTAAATTTTAGAATTAACATAGTCCATAGCAATGTTGATGAGATACTGGAAGTTCTACTCTGTTAAAGCTAAGAATGTATTTTGTAACCACTGAAGTGTGTGTTTACTCTGATTTTATTTTTCAAAGTTTAAGAAGGATACCAATGTAAAAAAATCAGTCCCAAAGTCAGGGCCTACAGGAAAACTACATCCCATTCAAAAACAAAGAAAAATCATAATGATGACTCTTAAAAAAGGCTTTGCCAACTTCATCGGGCCACACACCAATGACTGCTATACTGTGGTAAACAGTGGCAGTCAGTACTTCATCAGCTAGGAGACTAGCAGTTGCAGCAAACCAACATGCTTCAAAGATCATTATTAACATCAACAAAACCAAGCAAAATAACCAAGAGCACTACAAGGTGATGTGCCCAATCAAAACTACCTGACAGAGGAGGGAGGAATAGTAAGCCAAAGACAAATCAAGTTACAGATGCTACAAGGGCATAAGTATTTTTTTATAAACTTTAAAAAGTAAATAATTTTATTAGTCAAATAAAATGTTTTTGCAACAGCTCTACGAATATGGCTTTAATCTTGGGGGATATACTTGTTCATGAGAACACCAAATCCTCCGTGTGGCATGTGAAGATAAGCATACATATAATTGTTTACAGGAAAGAGCTTAAGGCACTTGATATAAATAATAAGGCTCTATTCTTCCTTTTCTGTAGACTAAACTGCTAGCAACATGTAATAAAAGCTCAATGTGTATCTGTATTGTAAAGACTACTTGAAATAAAACCAATAGTTCAAAACACAGGCTTTCCACTTACCTGCATCAACCATTACATATTATGGCTGTGACTAATTAAAGAATTTCCCTTAGTGATTGAATTCTTCCTTAGATTCACTAAACATAACTACACAGTAACAAAGAACAGTAAAAGCTGCCTTAAGATTAGATAACAGTATGTAAAGAAACAACTGCTTCCCGATCATATAGGCAGCAGCACCATGTCAAATATATGCAACTATAAAAGAATTGAGCAAAAAGAGAGAAAAGCAATGTCACCACAGAGCAGCTGTCAATACTGAACTTGATTACACTGCTCTAAGTGAAAAGGGCCAATAGGTTTTCCTACTTTGTGGACTACTCAGAGAAAAAAAAAAAAAGAAAAAAGAAAAATCAGCTAATACCAAGACCAAAACGAAGATGATGGTTCTCCCCAGGCAGGACATGCAAAGTCCCTTCCAGCCTAAGAAAGAATCAATCTACAAAATGTTTCTAATGAAATTAACAGTCCATTTCAAAAGAAGATCTGGCGCAAAAAAAGCAACCATGAGTTGACATGGACACTGACTTTATCTGGGAGCAGCTACCCTTCTTTTGGAAATTAAATTATTTTGTAGGTCTTTGCTGAGAATTTGTGAGAAAAATGAAAAGACAGTATGAGTGGAACCATGGCCTTGGTTAAAGCATAAAACACTTGAAAGGATGCAAAAACTCTAGCAGGGAGATGAAGAACAATCTGCTAGATAAAGAAGAAAAAAGAAAAAAGGAAAAAAACCTATTAAATTTATCAAACACTTCCCACTGTCTTTGCTTACAACTTGGCAAAGCTCTAAAGGTTTCTGCTGATATTCTACATATGGTGGTTCACTGTTTTTGAGGAGACACGAGACAGAAGAGGCTGCATTTCAGCCAAAACAGTTCAGCTATTTCCAAGAATAAGGAAAGCATTTTTTTTATCATATTCCTTTGACTAGCTCCAGCAATCCCACACTTTTTTAGGAAGGAATTGGAATTGAAAATCATTGCGAAATCATAAAAACATTTTTTAATTATGCTTGTGCCAAGAATACCACATACCACCACATATTCCACCACAGTGGAGCACAGTGCTAAAAGATGAGGCATGGCAAATCCGGGCCCCACGACAAGTTACAAGCCTTTGAAAAATTCTAGTTCTACATGCTCACCAGAAAGCTTAAACAAAGATTGCATCCACACTCAGTGAGCGCTCCTCATCCTGTACCCATACCTACCTTTTCCCTGGCTCCTAGTGCTCATCACACAGTAAGCCATGTCCGCTTGCCAAAATAGCAGAAAACTAAGCAAAAAATGTATTTGTGCTGCATTAGCAAATGTAAGCAACTTGCTACATGATCTGACAGGCATCTGAGTTGGAGAAATAGAGAACTGGGGAGAGAGACCTCCATGACACTTCTTCCCAGCTGTGAGCTGTTGATTTGGCTCGGTCCTGATGCTATGCTGTACCTCCTTCCACTTTCTCCAGTACCAATTAGCAGCCAGTTATTTGACATGCCAGCTGCTAGTTACTACATGTCAGAGACCAGGGTAGTGACTCAGCCGGTTAAAACCCTGCTCATGTCTTACGTGGTTGTCACTATACTGACACATGACTAAATAGCTCCTTGGCTGTTTAGTTAAGAGATAACATATGTAAAGGTGGTGAAAGAACATTCCTCGGTAAAAGTCACATCATATTCAGAAGTGCTTAACTTAAAGATATCTATAAAAGCTGAATTCTGATGACTAAACAAAGAGCACGAACAGAACTGTCTTCCTCAACTATTTAAAAAACTGATTCACCAAAGCCAGATTTCTTGCAGGAAGGGGCAATCTCAATGAAGGTCTCATTAAATACATAAAAAATTGTGTAACACAGTTGATGAAACAAGGCTTTCTCAATACCAAAACCTCTGGTTTTCCATTTTAATTTTGAAATTCAAGTTGCTTGGAAGAGCTATGGTTTAAAAGTTTAAAGGAGTCAGAGGAACAATTACGCAAAGTAACTTTTCCCCATACTCTACTTAGGACTACTTCTTAACCACCCTTCTCCCCCATTTTGGGACAGGAAAGCTTTTTCCATTCAGATCCAATTCAAAGATTATTTTTAACTACACAAACACATACTTCGCATGCAGTGCAGCTGTTACACCGTGAATAAAGAACCTGGTACATATATAAATGGAAAGGCAGTATGCCTTTAGCCTGTATAAAACATGCCCAGTCATCTTCAATAATTTCTAATATCTTTGCTGGAACCTGGCAGGGCATCCTTTCCTATTAAGTCTGACACTCTCCTAACAACTAGAAAGAAGCTGAATAGCCACTGCTGTCTTTTATTTAGTCTTTAGTAGCAATTGCTACAGCTCTGCCATGCCAGCTACCATACAGAGAGACATGCCTTGCCCTACACAAAATCAGCCAATGCTGAATGCCAGAAGCCTGAGGCTGCACGTGGCCCCACTGGGCCAACTGAGTGTGATGTTACACACAGATGCAATTGGAAAAGCCATAACCATCAGTTTTCAGAACTCCAAGATTCAAATCCATCAGCATTTACACAAATCCTAGAGGGAAAGAGAACACTTCAGGCAAACGATCCAAATACGAACTTCAGACTCCTTCCTAGATAACAGGGTGTAGAAGCATCAGCTTCCAGGATTGGTCAGGATTCCACCAAGGACAAGTACCAGTGAGCATCAGAAGAAGAAACCAGAGATTTCTCTACATCGGTCAGAGAAAAGAATGACATGTAAACATACTGGAGGAAGCAGTAAATGTAAGGGACACCTAATGGCTTTTCCGAAATCCCTATAAATCATGCACTGACAAGCTCATCCATGGGAAAAATGCCAGACACTGCAGTGAAAGATCCTGAGCACACTGGTTCCATGACCCACAGTCCTTAACTCAGCTAAAAATAGTCAGCTGAACCTCAGACCAGGGAGAATAAGATCTTCAACATTTAAATAGAATTTGATTTAAACAGGACTTAGGTGCATTTTCTTTTGAAAAATAAACCTATTTAAATTTGAAATTATGACAGCTTACCTTACAACATAATGCTGCCATAACCTACTAAAATCACATAAATTAAATAAATTCAAACAATACATACTTGTTGAGAAAACAGAAACCACTAAGCTTATAGACACATCCAAAGGAGCAGCATGGAGCAGAGTCCCTTGAAATGCTGTGCCAACTTTTGACCACAGAAACTTGTTCTAAAAATGCCATAGTGGGGAAAAAAAAAAAAAAAACCAAAGGCTGTATTCACCAAGTTCAATGACTTGTTAATTTAAAAGCTGCAAATCAGATGGGAACTGAAAAAGCAGGAAAGCAGTTTTCCTCTTTCAGTCTCTAAATCAAAAAAATAGGCACCAAAGGATAAGATACTGTTGTTCTAAAATCCTGAAGGACCCAGTGACCCGGAAAGGTCAGTTCAGGTAATAACTGCTGATAACAGTTATGTTGTTTAGTATAGCCTAGAGTTACACACTCAAAACATGCTTTGATAAACCCTGTCATTATAGAATAATATTTAACAGCATACTGAATATGTTTTAATATAAACCACTGTACATTGGAATTTAAATACAGTTTTTACCTAAATGCAGCTTGACACTAACACAGAAAAATAATTAATCTATATCTAGTAAATATAATGTATTATTCTCTGAACAAGCATAAGAAATTAGCCTCTAAGTAATCTTAAGGTATAAAATGCTCAGCTAGATACAAAGGCTGCAAAACAAATATTTGTTTGCTAATTTATATATTATATCCCATCACAAAAACTTATTTTTTAGGGAAAAAGCTTAAAGCTACAAACACAAAACAAGATTTAATTTCTTCATTTTTACATATTGGTCCCATTTTTCATTTTAACTACATGGTTATATCTGATCTTATAATGCTTATTAAAAGAAAGGCCAGGCCATCAATACCACTAGAACTGAGTATTGGTGATACTACCAGAGAGAACTGCAGCTCTCATAGCAGCATTATCATTCCTTGTTCTTTTTTTCACTGAGAATGAAAAAACAGACAAGCTAGGGCTTAAACAGGCTTCATGTACAGGTCTGGTCTTGGAGCTTTCTTCTTCGGCTCAGTGTTGGAGGGACTACAAATTCTGTTTTGGATACAAGGGTCTACTTTGAGAGATGATTTTGTGTCAGATGTTTTCAGTTAGGAAGACATTATTAGATAGGATGGTTGCCTTCGTGCCCCTTCCTTGAGCACAGTCACTCAAACAAAGGTGGAGAACAAGATGCCGCTGCCATGATAAGCAACTAGGTGAGAAAAACGGATGGGCAGGGCAGGAAAATCCATGCATTGAGCTTTAAAGAAACACAGAACTCTCATCAAGAGAGGGTGGCCAGATCCAAATCTCTTCCAGTTGCCAGATTTGGGTGGTTTTAACCTGAAGTTTGTACAGCACACACACCTGTCAGAAAATCAGAAGGAAGATTTTCTGTACTTCTTCAGAGCATTAGCCCACCTTGTCCAGTCTTGCCTCTTAAACCAAGACCAATTCCAGAGTAAAACACACGTCAACTTGAATAACGTTAGCAAACTGTGTTTCACAAGAAAGCAAATAAAAACCTCCCCGGACTGTTCAGAGAATCAGCTACAGCCCCAAACCCAGTATGTAACTATAATCCCTGTCCTACTGCAGTGCTTCAAGTTTTACAAGAATGCAGAGAACAATGCAGGTAATCCTGTGCTCTCACAGACGCAAGAAGAAATGAGAACAAAATGAGTGCAAACCCTCACTTGCTTACTTTAGCACTCAGAAAAGATGACTGTGATCCTGCAGCTTACCTGTATGCATCATATAGCATTCTGAAAAAGACTTAGTCATATATTCTAGAAAACATTAGAAACTCAGGCTCATTACAAGCTCAGCTGACAGTGAGTTTTGCACTTATATGACTATTGCATCACTTATTCTTGTTTTTAGGAGTTATTTTGGACTATAGACAATACCTACACAGCATTTCATCTCGTATGTTTTTTCACAGTGATTAAGAAGCTTGCTTACACTCCACTATCAAATATCCTTTCTCCATATTCATCGCAACCTTATATAAACATAGAGCATACATTAAGTCCTCCAAAAAAGGTTTGTTCTCCATTTCCTTTGGTTGTTACCTTTTTACATTCTCTTTTGAAGGTTCCCTAGTATTTCACACGCCTCCTGAAGTGCAGACACAATATCTAAATAGTGAGAGCTAGATTTACTGAAGTGAGCTACAGCCTCCATGGCATTAATGCAGTGAAAGTATAACATGACAGGGAAGCCTCTGTACAGCTAACCTTCACCTACTCCTTACCACCTTTCACTGCTGGGTGCTAAATACCTCATGTACCTTGTTACAGGAACATAAGATCACTACCAGCCACTTACCTGCTATTCCTATTACTGTACATCTAAGCAGAATGTTAGCCCTTTCTTTCCCCCAACAGAGGACACAGTTATCTAAAATGGTCTTTATGTTACTACTTTCCAAGAGTTTTTGTCCTGTTGAGCATCCTCTGTATTGTTTGATACCAAATGTATTTAACTTGCTGTTGACCTGCATAGACAATTGCTGTATCACCCTGTTAATTCAGATCATCTCATAAAGATTAAATATCCTGTTTTTCTTTTGTTTACTACCCCTACTGTAAACTTTACTAACAATATTTTTACATTGTTAAAATTTTATATAGTTAAAACTGCTAGCTGAAACATGGCACGGTGGCGTGAAACCAGGCTCCATGGAACCTACTAAAACCAGCTACATTTTGAGATCTCCCAGTACAGCGTTTTTTAATTGAAAGTGTTCCTTACAAGCACCAAATAATGCAAAAAAATACCAGACTTACATGATTATTACAGAAAAGTCAAGACCTTTAACATTCAATACTGCAACCTCTCTGATATAAACCTAAAGCATTTTTCCCTTTTACCCCTTGAGACCTGTTTTGTTACTGATTAGCCTCTATCCCACAGAAAAATCTGAACTGACCATTCCTTCTTTTGCCCAATACGTGAAGTTTTCTTCAAGCACAAAAACATTCTCTTGCCCGGTGTCTTAATTCACAGATAAAGGCTAGTTAGACTTCAACTATTTTAGACAATCATCTTCAAAAGGCAACACACAGTCCATTACAGATGAGAAGTTCAGTGCAGCTTCCCCAATTTAAGCATGAGTGCGCGTAGGTGATACTCATGATGCACGTGTGCACAAACACAATACAGAACTATTTTTTCCCAGGAGGCAGAAACTGTGCAAGCGCAGAAGCAGCATGGGGCCAATATATTTAAACCTGACAGGCCACTTTGAAAAAATTTGAGCAAATACAAACAATTTAAGCAGCCAGCAGCTAGGAAAGCACTTTTACTGCCTTTGAGGACTCCATATACTGCAAACGTTTTGAGAACTAACTCTTGTCATTGTACAAAGAAAACCACAGCCAAGCATCTGTATCATACTCTTCCCAAAAAGAGACAAAGGCAATCAGCTAAATAGGAAGTTTCAATTCTTACTGTCTCATGGACTTGAAAGAAAGAAACCGAAAGGAGCTGCTTGGCCCGGAGAGACATAGAAGCATGCACTGCCTGGAGCCTAGGAAGAACATCTGGAGGGATGGGAATGCAAGCACGCTTCACCGCCGGTGAAGATCCACCCCAGTAACGCTCGGGGAAGAATTTCACACTTTCCCACGCTCCACGTTAACAAAAACGAGAAGAGAGACCCCTGCTAAGAGAAAAAAAAAAAAAAACAAACAAACCCCAAAACCAAAAAGCTTTTCGCTTACCGGAGCTGCTGAACGGCCGTTTCGCCTAACAGTGACCTCTGCCTCGCCGCGACTGCGATGGGAGGTAACGAAATAGGAAGTTACCGGCCTCAGCGCAAGCAACGCTTTTTCCTGCAGTTCCGAGAGACCCACACCACCGCCCCGGCGCCCGGGACTCGCGGGGAGCGCCGTCAGACTCCGCCCGGCTCCAGCTGCCTCCGCACCGGCGCTGAGCCCGGCCGCCCGCGGGAAAGGCTGCCCGGCGACGGCGATGCCGCTGGTCTACCGCCCAGGGGGG